GACGAGACATTAAAACACGTTAAAGAAAATCACTGAAATTCCGCGCGCTTTGTTATTACCGCATAAAAAAATATATATGAACCGAGTATAAAGAGTGCGGGATAACGAATTTAGATGATCGAAATAATTTGGAAAATAATTTTTCGGCGGTGACATCTTGTTCCTTACATAATGCACGTGTACACATTACACCGTCGACGAGTTCTCTCCTTCCGCCTCTTTCTTCTCACTCAGCATTTTTGCTGTAAAAACATACGACCCGCGAGCCTGAGAGCCTCTTGGAAATTTAAATAAACGCAAAACCCTGCGTCTCGCGTCGCTGACGCAAAGTTTAAGGAATTTTAATAAAACGTCGGCCGTAGTTACCGTACGACTTAAGGAGCGCTCTAAAAAGTGTAACGTCGCGCGATCGTAATATCTTTGACAAATATTTATCCATCCTCACGTGATGGCGGGTGGTGGTTCGCGGTAAAATACACGCGTCGCGCGATAGAGTGAAAAGGGAAGCATATTTTACGAGACGTCGCGGCGCAGCGGCGGTGTCGGACCTGTAATTTCTCGTTCCAACGGGGCATGCATTTTTTCATGCAGTTACATCTCTTCCGGTGAACAGACTAAATAAATTACGAGGCTCGTCCGCCGACAATCGAGCGGCCGGTCCCTGTACCTGTCCCGTTTCGTTCGAAAAATGTGTATCGGTGGAAGAGACGTAAAATACGAGAGAATCATATACCTACTGTTTCCCCGTCGGCGAAACGAAGATGGTGTAAATTCATATAGAGGTGAAACAAATTTGGATTAACGAAAACACGGTAAAAAATTTACCTAATCCTGAAAGGTGAAAATAATTGATCTATAGCCGTGTGCAATTACGTGAGACAGAATTCTAATTTCGGGTATTTTTCTCTTCAGATTTTAACTGCGAATTAACTTGTTTGGACGAAATAATCTTGAAGCAGAAGGGAAATGTAGAATATATATATCTTTGAACAACCAAGTGAAATATTTTGCCCTCCAGACAAATTTGCACTGTTCGAGGACGAGGAGCCCGAGAGCTTCGCGCAAATAGGTGCATGATATCTCCGTTTTATAAATAACGCGAGCATAATACTCGAACTTCCCAGTTAATTAAGCGCTCCATTAATATGATATTACGCTGTAAACAAAGGCAATTTCCCCGGAATCTGCGCGAAATGGTTCGAAATTTTATTGCTCCTCGTTCCCCGTAATCGCTTATAATCCACAGGTATTTGTAACTATCGTTCGATGCGAACTTGTTAAGCTGTTAATTTGATGCATCGTCGTCGTCGGTAGCGAGCATTTTTCATGGCGGTTTTATCGCGCAAGCTCCTATTACGAAACTTTCCTATATACGCGTTTAAAAACGGATAATATCCGTAATAGTAGAGAGAGAGAGAGAGAGAGAGAGAGAGAGAGAGAGAGAGAACGCTCGCAATAACAATAGAAATCATCATCTATTCACGTCAATTTCGATGAATCGGATTAATACTCCGTTTGATTGACGGCTTCATTATCTTCTGCGGTAACTGCCGCTATACAGGTCGTCTTCAGCAAACCCACGCTTACTCTTAACGATGCAGTAAGATGACGCGTTTTGAATATCGCGAACGGAAAGAGACGGAAAAGGGAAAGTTCTCTTTCCATTAGTGTGTCTGCTGTCAAATTTTGTACCAAGTACGCTGAAGTTTCGAGACGAACTTTCGGCGTACTTTAAGTGCTAATTAAAATGTAAAGAATACCATTGCGCGTATGCAGCTGCATTCGCCGTATAATATAACACGTACATATATACTCCCCATAAAACTACTAATACTTCACCGCAATTACTGTAATTGCCTTATATCGAACCGCTGCACGTTTGGGTCGATCGATAAGCATTCCAATTAATTAAGCATTCCGACCGGCCCACGACGATTGCATATCCCAAATCTCTAATCGTCGTGTATTCTTGTTCGGAATACAGTTTATTACTTTCAAAAACGAAACAAAAAGAGCCGCTAACTTGATACCTGATCTTGTAATCTTCATTAATCGGCAAGTTGCTGAGTGTTGGTCGCGAAACTGCTATCGAGCAGGGCTTAGGGAAAGCAAAATAAAAAGAAGAGAAAAATGAAATTTGTGCACACTAGAAAATTGTCTTCAACGATAAGAAAGAATTTATGTGCGTTTGTATTCATAATTTTTGCTGTGTTTTTTCTCGCAGTTCTATGAGAATTCATAATCACGCAAATTGCGAACCATACTTCGATATTCATTCGTAAAGTTAGTTCGCGATCCTAATAGAATCCACATGTGCGATAATTCGAGGAGAATACCGGTAATATCTGACGATACTCGTCGCTCTTTTCGCCGCCGGAGGATATCTGTTTTTGACAGCTACACACGTGGGGTGGTGGTCCACCCATAAGAAGTGGAATTTTGCCAGCCGCTTCCGAGGACGCTGTGAAAACGCCGAACTTCAGGGGCGAATCTGTTCGTAAAAGGATCTTTTAAAAAATAATTTTAACGCTAGATAGGATCTTTTAAAAAATAATTTTGTCTGGAAATATTCGTTGATAATACATCACGTTTTCTTTAATGTCTCCTTGAAATTCTCTTAATTCCGCACGTCCCAAAAGTTTCTCGGAAATTTGTCAGCCTTGGTTCGCGAAACGCGTTCACCATCCGTTCCTGGTGAAACTTCTATTTCATCCTGCAGTCAATGGCAGTCGCACCGCGACGCTGCGACTCGCGCTCACGACGTACCCCTCTCCCCCCCGCATCCGCGTTACCCCCTTTTTACCGCGGTACCACATTAAGCCCGCCTAATGTCACTCGAAGAAACGACGGACGGGGTGCATGGGAGCGGAGAGAAAAGTGGGAAGTATAAAAAACGAGCGGACCCGATAGATCGATCCGGCGGAAATTTCTCAGGGGAACAACGCCCGTGAGCGCGGCGCGCGGTGCCGCAGGCCGTTCAAGCGCTATCCTACATCCATCACGCAGAATTTGCACATTGGTGCCGGACAACTAGATTTACTGGCGAAATACCCACCACGGCGGAGAGGGCGGCCCGGTAATCACGAAGGAGTCCACGCAATTTATAAGGCGTATATAAATTGAAAATTATTTACAGAAAGAATTAATTCCGTTGTAGCGTGTATATTTGTATGAATATTTATATTGCTCTTCATACTAATGTAGCTCCTTAACGCGCGCGCGCGTCGCGTGAAAGCACCGAATGTTATATAACCAATCTAGCAAAAAATTGTCACAGATTATATTTTTGAGGTAAAAGCGTACCTTCGTTCTCTCAATTAAAGCGCAAAAATAGCAGCATCGCAATAATCAACAATATCGGTAAAGTATTAAAGCACAACGGGCCCGATAGACATTCATATATTTCGCACGTTGTATTTCGCAATGTAAATAATTAATTGTCACTATTTATCAACGCGGTAATGCATAGTGGACGCATAAATTCGTAACGTATTATTAATCTCTTACGCGATGAAAATTTGTGCTTTTATCGAGCGATCGATAACGGAGCGCGGGCCCGTGTTTTATCAATCCCGCGAAATTAACAATTTAATTTGTGACACGTATCCCCGTTTTCACTGGGAATTAATATCACGCCGGTGAATCGATTTTTCCGCGAATACGATTCGATAAGATCGGCCCTTTAACGCAATTCCGTTTCAGGGGCGTTTCGGGGCTATATGCTCTATCAATCTCCGCCGCCGTTTTTCAGTTGTGAGCTCGCGCGCACGCTCGCGGGATTTTCTCGGGTCCGCCGCGTTACTCCGCTTCTTGCATGCAGAAGGGGAATAGATTGACTGAAATTGACACCTACACTCCCGCCCGTCAATGCGAATTGACGACGACCGAATTGGATAATCGGTGGAAACGCCACGATCACGCCGGCGATGTGAACATATCGTTGGCACATCCTCATCTTTATCCTCACATCATTGTCACTTTCGTCCTCGTTTCCTTTACCCCTAATTTTTCAATATATCTTTTATCGGATCTTTTAACGTACATTATCTGATATCAACGTGACGAACTTTTCATCTTTTCGACAAAACCTAAAATTAATATATATTTTTTTTTTTATCAAAGTTTGTATTCTCTATGGAAAATTTTTCGTTCCATTACGACAGCAGCAACGGAAAAATTTGCAAAAATTCGTGAAATTATTTTTAACATGTTCTTTCGTTTTATTCACCGAAAGTTAAATATTACTACATCGGACAGTTTTGCAGAAAAATTCACATGGATTTGAGGTGTCGTGGCCACACCGGTCGGTAATATTCGTTAGAAATCCTTCACGAGCACACCACTATCTGGATTGGATGATGTATGATGTAATTAATGGTTATTTCGCGGCTAATTGCCCGGGCGATTATGACTTTTCCGTGTGTATATCGTCGCAACGCGCTGCACTGCCACGGTGAACGTGAGAAGGAAGTTTTAAATAGCGCCGTCCTAAATAAATTGCAGAATAAGTCCGATCACATCGATATGACGTATTTTAACTTTTACATGCATCGAAAATGATGTATAAGATATAAAGTAAAATTGATTAAATAATAATAATTGAATAATAGTAATTGAATAGACGATTATATACATATCAATAACGTAATTACTCATGACTTCGTAAGAGCCCATTATCGATCAAGTAGTTGAAAACGCTGAGGAAAATGTAATTTCGACGTATCTAAAAAAAACCTGCAAAACCATTTAACTTTGTCATTAATAAGCAGGTGCTACTGCTACGATGTTTCTATAGAAATCTTTATATGCATCATTATATTTAAAAGAGAACGAAAAGAAAGGAATTTAAAATACATTGCTTTAAGGAAAATCTGATGAAAAATATAAATAATTCGTCTAGACTTGATGTATTTCAATTTTAAGATTTATGTTAAGATTTTGCAAGCACGTTTTATCGTACAAAGTGCATCGCGTACTAAAAATGACTATTTTTATTACAGGTATAGGATATGATTCGTCTGACGAGGACAGAGATGACTTTGACACTGTGGCCTTCGACTTCGCTATGCCGAATTTATTTTCTGGTACGTAATATTCTCAAGAGAAGATCTATGTCTATAAATACATGCAGTTTTGATTTCCAATATGGATTTGTCCCTCTTATTGCTCTGTTTCAAATTTAATTATCTCTCTTTATTTTCTATGTAGTTAAAAATAAGGAAATATGTATATATTCGAATGAAAGAGAAAGAGAAAAAACGAGGAAAGAAATAATTGTAACAAAATGGAAAAAAGTACCATAGTAATTAGCTGAGGAGAATAAAATTTCATGTCATCTATGGTATTTTTCCAAAATAATATGAACTAATTTTTATCAGTACGCGCACATTCGTTCACATTTTCATCGCGTGTTTCATCGCTAGATATACATCCGCGGTAAACTATCGATTTTATTCATCCGATGCAAATGCCTGTATTTAATGAAAATACGAAATGAGTGTGGTATTTTTGACGTTGAATACGCGCTGAAAATGGGAACTTTATGGCCGCATCAAATCAGACGTTAAATACAGGCGCGAACGCAACCCGTTATTTTCATTAGCGCCTCCGCACTTCTACGCGCCCCGGCACAGAGATTCGCGAACGCGCGGTACACGCGAGAGTGCGAATTTGTGTGCCTGTGACAGGTGGATCATAGAGGCGTGCGCAAATATCGCGCACGCATCGTACGGGCGGCCGGAAATGCAATGTGCATCCACGATTGCATCGCGCGCGTCAGCCTCATATCCCGCTTACATGCGGTTTGTCTGAGCGTAACTTCCGTCAGTCTACGCCTACAGGGACATTTGGTATTATTTATGGTATACCAATTACCGCGTTCCGTCGTTCGCTTCGGACGAGTCTTGCTTAGCCGGTGTCCACACGTACGGCCGACTAATCAACAGCCATTTATTTCAATATTAATTATTAGTGCAATGTTTTATTATTTTATGCATACATAAATATCTTTCACAATAATAGTTTGTTGCTTTGAAGCAGATCTCGGCACATATTTATCCGGGTATAAATATATTGAGGTTACAAACAAATTTTAAAGCTAAAATCAGCTTGCAAATCCAATATTTATCTTCATAAATTGTTTGTTACACATCGTGTGGAACACATTGAAATTTATTTAGACGTATGAAGAAATATGTTACTTTTTAAAAATAAGTTTGAACCTTTATTTTGAGAAACAGGTAGTTTGAATAAAAGTTAAAAGAGGCAAGGCTTTTTTTACGAGCAAGATACGTTTTCTGTAAAACATAAATATGTATATCCTTCCTTTCTAAACAGATAATAATAATTAGAATTTCAAATATCCGCGTTGTCGGTGCATTAAGTCGGCACTGCACCATGCGCGTATTCCGCAGATTATCGCTGCTTTACGGAAGGCAACTTCCGCTCTTCCGCGTTCTAGGATGATCAACAATCTCCCAGTAAACCAGTTCGACTGGGAGATACGCCGGTCATACGACTTGCGTGTATATGTGTGTATGTGTATGTATATGCGTATATGCGTGTGTGCGAGACCACGGTAATAATGTCTAGCGGGTAATGAGTCGCTTATTTGTGTTTGGGCGCGTACGTGCCGCCCGTCACTCTCGTTGCGCAACAATTCGAGCTCTGGATCTATCGCGAAACGATATCGTGCCCGTAGGTCATGCCTTCACTCCGACAATGTATCGCTATTTGGTTACCATCGATGATCGCATTTAAGGGAATCCGCATGCGAAACTGGATCCGCATTAATGTGATTCGTGCACGCATCGTATGCCAGATTTTCGTAAAAAATTTACGCCGCGCTCGACCGGAGTCAGCGCCATCAAAATTCCAAAAGATTTAAATAGACGTCATTAAAGGCGAAATAATCGTCGGGAAAGAACAAAAATATCCTGCTGGAATATTTAAGAATAAAATTTGGGTCGTAAGTATTCTTGCATAGGATGAGTACGTGGCGAAATAAAAAAAAAAGATCTTTCTGATTGGAATCTAGGAAAGAAAACAGTAAAGTTGCTGCTCGCTTCCTCTTACTTCCTCTTCCGGAAGAGTAAATATAGAATAGACAAATACAAACCGACGCTGATATACGTAACGTCTCCGTATTCCTATACGGTTATGCGCCGAAGAAATTTGCAGAAGATGAATGTACACGTTACGGTCGGAATCGCAACGAAATACATCTGAAAAACCTGTTTATCATCGAACGTTGTCCCCCCCCCCCCCCCCCGCCGATCGATCTCGAAAACTACTCGGCGTGTGCAAACGGAGTTAAACAAAACGTGAAAAAGCCATTCGCGTTGGATGTATATTTTCGTGCCTTTTTACTAACTAATATTTAACAAAATTCTCGTTAAATATTTTCATGCGTTTCGCGCACGCGACGCGCGTTTTTATAAATATTTATAGAGCCCAAACAATATGCGTCAAACGTCGAATATGCATCCGAATGAGCAAAAATTTTTACATGGGGGAACGAGCGAGCGGGGAATCGCGGCCTGAAAAATTCGCGCGATTCCCCGAAATGGAGGCGACTTTGGCGCAATTTCCTTAATGTACGTATAAGCGCTATCTGCGGTTCTTATCGCGAGATGTATAGCTATATAGAGTGGCTGTACGGTGTTACGTCCGTCGCGCCGTTAATCGATATACGGTAACTACTACAGCGTTACACCCCGGCGAGAGAAAGAATAACAGGTAGCCGTGGTATTCTAATGAAAGCAATTACCAGAAAATATTGTCCTAATTAGCCCCAAGTTGCGATTACAAAAACGCGTTACGAAAAGTTACAGATTTCCTCAGAGCGAGAGAAAGAGTCGATCGATATAAAACTCCGTAAATTCGGATTTTATAGAACGTAATGCAATATTGAACGCCGTTTCTTGGCACCTCAAAAATCCAATACCGACGATATTAATTCGTCTATAAAAAGATATAAGTAAATTTTAACTTTTTGCACGATAATCGTGTTAACTTGGAGCATATGATCATCCTTTTTTACATTTATTTCTTCGGAAGTTTATATTCGTATTTAGTTAAATATACGGTCGCCAAATTTGATTGTCGGCGATAACGTGACATCGCAAATTCGTATTCAGACAAAACAATAATTATTGACAATTGAGATAACATTCTTTGTCTGAAAAAAAAAAACGGAATTTTACATCAGACCTTTTCCCTGTCATCCTCTCGGTCATCCTATTGCGATCCCTGTGTATTACCAACCCGTGGAATTTGGCGCGCGCGTCGCCAGTGACAAATACCTCCGTATACATGCATATTTTTGCGCAGCCGTAAAAACACTGAAAACGCGCGACGAGGAAAGGTGGTCGATCGATCGGCGTGATTAACGGTGTTATCGCGTGGAATTCGTAACAAGGTGATCCCGAGATCCGGCGTGCAGGTAGGTATAGGTGGGCGAGACGCGGCACGTGTGTAGCGCGCCCAACAGAATAAAATCTGTTGCGACTATGAACGTCGCGTTTCATGGCCTTTCAAAGTAGCGCAGCGGGTAAAGGTCGGCGACGTTAAACGCTAAGCTCGCGAACGAGCTATCGATGAAATAATGCGAACGTTATAAATAATCCGTAACTCCCGCATCAACATTAGTGCAAAAAATTATTCAGAGAAAAAACCGCGTATTTAAAAATTATATTAACCCTTAAATGCCACCCGGGGTCCAGCGGACCCCAGGCCCTTTACAATGATGTATTTTCAAATGTTCCCCCCAAAAATGGAGCTCATGCTCCCATTGATGATAGTTGAGTGATTGACCTACTCGGTTGTACACTTAGCAGTACTCAGTTTGCTTAATTTTTTATACTATGTTGAAATTGAAATTTTAACAATATAAGCATTTTATTCTCTTTTCTAAGCCTTGAACAACATTGAAAATAATTTTCATAACTAAATATCAAAAAATCAATGAGTAAGGAGACATTTTTCATGCTGGGGTTTTTTAGACCCCCCTCCCCCCATGTGTCATTTATGAGATTCTTGAAAGGTGTGGCATTTAAGGGTTAAATATGGATACATTTTAACATACAATAGATTAAGCATCTCCCTGATATTAAACACTGCATTAAATTAAAAACACCTATTTCATTAAATAAATTGTTAATGCTAAAGATAAAAGGAGATTGCTTCTGAAGGAGATTGCAACTAGAAAATATATTTTAGATATGCAGTTTATTCGTACCAAACAATTCGTCTAACATGAGAAATAAATAAATTGTGTTGGGTTCTTTTAACAAATATGTAATATAAATTTATGTATGGAAACTATAGATATATAGATATAAAGCACTAGAGTATTGATAGTTTCACAGTTTAATGTCATTACGAGTTTTTCTCGAGCGCTGATCCCTTTTTCAGGCCGCCAGTCCCTTTCAGGAAAGAAAGCTTTTCCCTATCCTGAAATTTAACTTGATATCGCGCGCGGCGTGATTAAAGCGCAACCGAAAATTAAATTTTTCAGAGAAAATTAACAGGTCGCACGCAGGAGAATTAATTGGCGCGACTACTCGCGACCTCCGCTATTTTCAAAGAGTCGCTCTCTCGTGCGGGATATATTTTGCGAGGTAGCAGGATGGACGCGCCTCCGTATACACCGCAACCGTACGCATATGGCAAATTAATAAATTAATGAATTGATAAATTAATAGATAAATTCGGCGAGAACTCGGCGCGGAGTAATTTATCGGGAAAATTTATTAAAGGGAGAGGCTTAATGAATTTCACGATATTTTTTGACATTTTACGAACATATACCAATGTTGAATTTTTACGAGATTCAATCATCCGTCCGAGTAACGATTTGTCAAGCATTTTTAATTTTTACGTAACTATACTATAAGTCACGATGTAAAGCGCTTTAAATATTATAAAGATATATCTAGGGGGAAAAATATAAACAAAGATATGTATAAAAGGTGCGTATAGGCATTAAGAAATGTTTAGATTTTATTACTAAAATTAAACTTTTGATCGACTTGTTGGGCGAATGACAAAGGCTCGCGGACACGAGGACGGAGTTAAATTTGTGAGTTGCATATGCGTAGCCGTATGCGATCCTTTACGTCTATCTCATATATCAAATCCCACCGGGCACTCGTGCAGAATGCAGACCGCTACGAATAGTTTCAGCAGTATGCCTATTTGCAAGTCGCGACACGCTCAAGTCGCCGTGTGACGTCAAGCTCGAAGCTTTGATTACATTACATACTGTGCGTCCGATCGACCGAAGTGAGAGCGGAGATTCGACCGCGCCGCGCCGCGCGCGCGAGCCGAGACCGCTCGTCGCTGCAATGTGCGCGCTGCACGGAATCAGAAATTCGCTGACACGCTTCGAGAAATTCGTGCGCTCCTTTCCCGCGCGATCAGGACGGAGATAAGAACGAGACGTTCGAAGGGAGGGGCGAAAAAAAGGAGCACCTTTTGCCTCACGACAAAGGCAAAAGGTTTTCGCAATGGATTGGAAGGCAACGAAATATCGATCACAAAGCAAAGGTTGCCGGCGGGATCGAGCGCGCGCGGCCTCAAGGTCGGCACACGAGAGAGAGAGCCGCAAAGTTTATCAGATCACTTTCACCATTGAGAGGATTTTAACGGTGCGCCGCCGCCAAAAGCAACGAGAAAGACGATAATCGGTCCCGATCCGCCATGCCGCGCCGCGCCGGTATAATTCGTAATCCGGGGGACTGAAAGCAACCATCGACATCGAATGGGACGGCAATTTACGGTATAATCGTTGATTGCGCGACTCGATGAATCGTTATTCAAATCCGCGTGACGCGGCGCCGCGCCGTGGGAGGCCAGCGGATTGGAAATGGGCCTGGGGAACCGGGAGCGCCAGCGGGTGCCTACGGATGCCAATTTCCCGATCATTTCACGAGCTGTTTATTATTTTAGCATCACGAATAATTTTGGAATTTAATGTGAATGGCGATGACCGAACTATCGTCGTCCACACGAAACCTCAATTCTAAACGAAATGAGAAAAGAGATATAATAAAATCAGTATGCAGTTTACTGAATTTGGAAAAAATACATTATTATATTTTTATAATACAATATTATTATTAGGCTACTACATTGTTACATATGAAATTTAAACCAATACCTTGTTAGGTAAATAACACTTTGTTACTTTTAGCTATCATGTGTGTGTCGAAATTCATTATTTTAACACAGTATTATTTTAACTCCATTGGCTTAGTTAAATTAACATTGTTTTAGTTAAATTAACGATATATTGAGTAGAAGCAGCGACGACTATAGGAATGGATAAAAATGACTCAAATTGAGTTTAATTTAACGCTGAATTTGATAGTGTAAGACTGGACCGTAAATGACATTTTTTCTAATTGAAGATATAATTTTAACAGATTAGAAAATACATATGAAAAAATTATTTAAATTGCGAGGATCTCTTAGAAATTAATTAATTTTCATATAGATCTTATACAACACGTGTGCCTCTATTCGCTATTTCTTCTTAAGCCTTGGATTCATTCGTAGCCGATAATTCCGAGGTTTTTTTCATGTACAAACATTTAGAGCACGATCATGCTACGACGTAACCGTGAAACCGAAATATATTCATGTTAAATATGTCTCAGACCAGTAGTTGACCTTCTATTGAACTTTCGTAACCAGTTCGGCGACTTGTCATTTTATAATTCAGAGCTCTGTAGGATATTTATGTTGCCATCAAAAGCTGATAATTATCAATCTCGTTTGTACTTGTCAACAACATAACATTATCACCGTGCCTAATTTTATAGAAGATAAATCAAAATTAGTTTGTAAATAAAGTTTGCAGAACGTCACGGCGACGACCGAACAATAATCATTTCTATGAGATTTAAATCACCATTAAAAGGTAACGAGTAACGATCGCGCTGATTTTATTTTACGCAAAATCGCCAGCGTAGATTTAATTTCAAATTCGCTCATTTATATCGTTATTAGATAAGCGTAACGTTAAACCGACACTAAATTTCATCCCGATGAAAATATCGCCGAAATTTGCATTTTTAAATATTTTTACTATAAATTACTTAACGATCCGCGCGACTCGTATGACAAAATTGTTACTTGTTGCTCGCTAAACTTGCCGAATCGATTGCGGTATTTCCTTTCGCTGATTTAGCGTTTTTGATAAATTGCGCCGCTTCGTATTCGGCTCGCGTCGAATTTCGAAATAAATGAAAATTACGGACGGGCCATTTTTAACAATAACAGGCCGTTTTGCCAGCTAATTAAAATTATCGCGTGCAAAGAGCCGGTAACGCGCCGATTTCAGCGGCATATCCGATGCCGTTTCCCCTCTCACCCTCATATTGCAAATTTTTCTGTATGCAAACGAAGCCAGTGTCGAATAATATGCTGGCCCGGCGCGCGTCCTCATTGAGATTCCACACAGCAATAATCAGCCGATACAGTCGACTATTTTATTCCGGCAATCGCATTGTAAGCGCAATAAAGTATGCAAAATTTATCAGCACGGTCGACGTCTTCTCCGTTTTCTCGCGTATACATGCTATTCGATCACGGCATAAATTATTATTACATTTTACAAAATACTGGGTCGCGGGATCTCAACCACCATTTTATTTATAACACGTAACGGCAACGTCTTATCGCGTAACTTGCGCGGGAATTGCATAATGACATGCGAGTCCGTAGACATGTAAATATTCTCGCATATAAATATTTATTCAAGGAGATTCAAATTATGTAGAAGAACTGAGATGATGGCGAGAGAGACAGAGACAGCAAGAGGAAGAAAAGAATAGACAGGGTCGATATTAAAAATTAAAAAAAGTACGAAGAATTTGTTAATAATCTCTAATAACTTAAATTAAATTCCGTTCGACTGCATCGCTATTTAAATTACGGTAATAATTACGTAGTAATTACTGATCGTTTGGAGAAATAATTTTACATTATAGCGGAGAGAAAGAGAGAACGTAAACGCGCGCCGTTAAATAGACTCGATTATCACGTTCGTTCCCGAGACGCCTGATTCTTGGATGTGCACACGGTTCTTTTCGAGATCCGAAAGGAGACACAGACATGTTACGTGTCTCATTTATTGTTTGTGATGCGCTGTTTTGTTCGGCTCTTGACTTGCCGTGCTAGCGTGCACACGACCCGCGACCTGATTCACGCCCGATCGCAATAAAGCGCTTTTGAATCGTTTAAAATGAAACGGAACGGTAGCCAGGCGGAGACAACGGCGGTACGCAGTCGTTAAACGGCTCTGCAAGAATCTCGACAAAAATTGCTACGCCAATGCGTATTATACCGATCTTGAGTGTAGCTGTCTGCAACGCGATTTTTAATTAGGCAGTACTTGTCGGATAAACTTAAAAATTAAGCGGCGAACATTCGACAATAATTTAAAAATATAATATTACAGATTAAAAATGAAAAGCGGTAAAAAAGATATATGATATGATAGATATTTATTAAAAATGGTAAATATTAGATGAAAATTATGTGTGCGTCGATTAACGAGAGCTTTACTATAAATTAAATATTTATAGGGATTTTCTCCTACTTTTTTTGTAAATTGATTATCGTTCGGATCAATGGGTCCGTCACTCCATGCTTCATTTCCTAAATCAAAAATCACGGAAGCGCAATTTTGTTGTCCGACGATTGCACGCGATTCTAATAAGCGCGTCATCCCCAGATGCTTGACAAATATTTTTTAAACAGTCACCGGTGCTTACGCCTGCTTTAAATTCGTTTAAATTTCGTCCATTATCGAGGACAGTTTACCGGATGTCGTTGTTACTGACATTTGCAAATGAAATCAAGCAGCCAATTTAAAAATTGACAATTTAAAAAGCATCACACGGATTTACATAGATTACTGTATATATTTACAAGGACTCTCTTTCCAATATTCGCTTCTGTTTCTTTTTTTCAGATACTCTCCAAAGACTTAGGCAAAATCTCTTAAACTACTTCTGGAACATGCCCGATATCACGGACGTCAAGATTCCTGAAGGAGCGAACACGACCTCCACAACTAAGGTAAATATTCGACAGGACCCAATTTACAAATCAGAAATCAATAATCCACAGATTAATTATTTCATCGCCGTTCGCCAAAGATCTATGATTAATCAGTAAGAATTATCGCCGGGGCTCTTTCTAAAATTCTGTTCGGTGCGCCGCGTGTTCTCGGGAAATCAAATTTCGGCTTCGGAAACCGATCGTCGAGAGAGGCGAATCAACAACGGTGCCGATGCGTTCGCCAAGAGAGCGAAGTAAAATAATCCCACGCGGAGAGGAAGCTCCGCGTCGCGTCGCGTCGCGCTGGCCCGGCCCGGCCCGGACCGGACGCTTCGCGGAGAGATAATGCATCGCCAGCAATTTACGTACACGTGTAAACTGCAGCAACGAGATGACGACGGAGTTACACGGGCGGGAAGACGGGTAGAAGGGAGAGGAACCCCTTAACAATGGCACGGGAGTGCCGACTGTGCGGCGTTGAGGGGGAGGGAGGGGTGATCGGATTACCGCATTTCCCGTCGCGTATTGTTACACGCTCGGAATCTGCGCGCCGCCAGATCTCCCCCCGATACGTAAGTCGCTTAACGCGTAATGCGGACTTGCCGCACAAAGCGCGACTACCGGAAGCGGATAACTGCGTCCGCCGAAAAGTTCGCCCGTCGCTCTCGCGAATTCCATTCCTCGGACACCGGCACCGAAACTCGGATATTCGCGCGCGCGACAGTCGCGGGCAGAAAAAAAAAGAGAAAAGAAGAAAAGGGGAAAGGTCTCTTCTGAGACGTCACGGAGCTGAGATAGATCTCTTCCCTTTTTTAGATCACCTTTCTCATTAACGATTATTATCTGCAAAATCGAGATATTTAAAATCGACAGTTCTTCTTATTAAAAAGTATCGAGGTTTGCATCAAGCTCGTTTACGAATAATAAGTACTTCTCTGCCGTTCGGACGTCGAGGAATTAAAACGTGAATGTGAAATATAAGAAGGACGCATTAAAAAGGATGACATGTGAAAATGAGACGTGACTTAGCATTTTGTTAGAAAAACTGTGCAAGTATTGTACGGGACTTTCCTCATTGCGCTTTCACGCGTAGAAAGGTGTAGAAAGTTTAATTAAATAGACCGCTTCTAATAATTCATCCCGAAGCACTGTATCTTCTCGTTAGCGGAGCAAATCGCAGACATCGCACTGTCATGTACTAAACGCGGCGTTGCAGATTCTTCAATAATGAAGCTTAATTAATTTTGATGATGCGTTTGTCAGTTGTAGAGCTGCAAACTGTTCGATAAACCCGTTTGCGCCTCTGTCTGAACCAGTTCTGGTTCCTTCGGGGGGCACGTGTATGTACACATTACGCTATATCTTCCCGAAGAACTTTGCTGTAACGAATCAGATAACATTTGGAGATTGAACGGGAGCTCGAAAATTGTTAAACCAATTCCCAGTAGCGAGGATTGCCTTTTTTTTTTAAACTGAATTCACGCGCGGCTTCGTATCTCGATAAGAGAGACCGAAGACGGCACCGCGTTGATTACACGCAGCTAATCTCTGATTCCCGCAAATGGTTTTATTGCAGATCATTAACGGCCACGTGGTGACGGTCAACGAGACGACTTACATGACCGGCGACGCTCTCAGCGGCACCGCGTTCCGCATTCGCATAATCGACGTGAAGCCGCAGAACGACACCGAGCTGACGCGCGACGGAGGCAACGCGGGACCGGAGTCAACGGTGAAGCCGGAGCCGTCGGAGAGCCGCGAGACGGTCGAGGACTTAAACAACGAGATATCGAAAAACGTGGAGACGCTGACCGCCTAAAAGGCGGTTGATCCGCTCGCGTGACACGTCGACGATCGACGGTATCTGGGTGGATCTCGGACAGAGGAGGAACGACCTTTATTTACGTGGCTGTAGTAGAGTAACTTCGGTGCCACACCGAGTGTGCATCGCGTTAAGATAAAAATATTACTGTAATATATACAATACATATATATAAAGTTGTGTTTCTGTTATTTCCTATCGCTTCTCGATACGGTAGTTTACGACGTTTACTTGCGTCTCTCTGGGAAAAAAGATTGCCGTCGCTGAAGAGGATAAGTTAGGGATATTTATAAATACGTGGTACGAGAGTTGAGAAGAGAGGGGCTAATTGGTTTCAATTAACGATAATTTGTAAAATTTTAATTAATTGATTAAAAAGCTTTTAAATGATTCTGAATCAAATGAAAATTCTCGGTTAAACGTGAAATTGAAATAAATGAGATGTAAAGCTCAATGCGCGTTCACGTTTTTTTACAACTGAACATTTTATACCTTGAACAGTTGAATTTTATATCATGAAATACGCCTGAAAGACGTTCACTAGCGAAGAATATGGAAATAAAATGTTATTGTGTGATTTCTTGTACTTCTCAGATTAATTACTTTCTTTGACTCTTTCTAATTTATAATATTCGTTATACGTCCATGTATCCGACATTTGTGAAAACTGTTAAAGATTTTTATATATTTTATAAATTAGTAGAAATAAAATTGGTGTGTGATAACGTATGATATTTTGTAATCAATATATATATTTCAATATATATGTGTGTAAATTCTCGCATATCTCGTTCTACCTTAGATGAATGTCGAGCAAAAAAGGTGAAAGCACCGTTACTTCGAGTCACATACTTCGTGTATAATTCACATATCACGCTGGTTTACTCGCTAACAGTTATATATATGTATATATATATACGTAAAACCGTTTTGTAATAACTAATTATATTACACTGTCGTCCGCCAAGCGGAATATTTACGCCAGTCCAGTTTGTTACGATTTATGCGACCAAATACGAATATGAAGTAAATTGCAACTGCTGTATCACATTATCATATTACTTTGTATACTTATAGAACGATGCGAGGACTTTTATCCTGTGAAAGATTGCATAGAGCTGATATTTAATAAATCTACACTTCCTATGCATATGGGAAGCGTAGATTTATTAAGTAGGATATATCCAGGTATCCTATTTCTTTTTTCTAGTTTCCCTCACAAATAGTATCTTCAGCGCTGAAAAACGCAAATGTCGATCGAGTAAGGCATGTAATTTTGTGATGAAAGATCCACACACACGTGTAAGTAAACGTCTGTAAACTATTTACGGAGGAAAAGTTTAATAGAAAAGGCTTCCGTGGAACGTCGATTTTTTATAATTTTATAGAAGGAAAAATGTACGTTCCTGTAGTGCTGTTCTAGCGTATTTTTACATACGTACACAAATGTATTTACAGATTGTAAGTCGTGCTGTAAACTGAAATGTTGAGAAAAGTTGACGCAATAAAATAATAGTAATGTATCATATTCCGATAGCACACACCTATCTATGCGCAATGTGCAATTTACATAAGTTTACGATTTAATATCCCATTCTAATAATTTCGATATTTACTCAAAATAATAATAAAGAAAATAAGATTTAAGTTTAGAGATATAAGTCTAAATATATTAAAAACGGATAAAAATTATAAAGATCTAAACGAGACGGGTAATTTTTTACATTATTTGCAGTGCCCATGTGATAGATAACGTCCGGACATATTTTATGTATAATTATATATAAAAAATGTTTTCCCGGGATTACTATTGTAACAGTTTACGTAAAATGTTTTTCACTATTATCATACACTTATTTAATATCATTTATCACATATTTTGAGTCTACTCCTAAAATAACGTGAAGCAAATTTTTTTTAAATAAATAAATAGAGTGACTAACGTATGTACATATACAAAAAAAATAGATATTGACATTTTTGATGTCAGATAGGATCTTATGTCTAATAATAATTTTCGGGAGTTTCATACATTTCGTCTATTTACTTTTGAACGACGCGCTTATCATTATTCGATCTTGAAACGTAATTTTTATGCCAAAACCGGAAATGTAATTTCGTACAATTAAATTGCTGTACAATTGTTAATTACTCTGATGCTAATGAGTATCTTGTAAATCTATTTTCTCTTTTTAAATGTTTTTAACGATGATCTGTCGTTCGAAAGTCGCGCGTCCGCACATTTCCGGCCGTGCGAAAAATGGCGCGGCCGCCACTCGCCACGCGGCTTCAAACTCGCCGCGCGTGACTATGCTCTTTCTATGACCCAGTTGCACACGCGCGCGCGCTCGCGTGCGTGTACGTGTAGAGCATATACGTCATTTGTACGTGACGGACGCATCGGCGGGAGGCTGTCATGTGTGGATGTCATGCGGACGTGTCCGTCGCCGCCGTCGCCGCCACCACCGTTGCTGCAATCTGTTGACGTTACCGGACCCGGTGGTGGTCGAGGCCCTCGGGACACGCGCGCACGTGGTGAAAGCTGAGAGGATGCTGCGATGTCAGCACGCAGACGTCACGTCGTAGGGCCCGTGGCGAATCGCGACCTTGCGTGCTCGGGCGGCTCGCGGCACTATCACGATGAAGACGGAGCGAGCGGCAGATTGCTGAGCGAGGAGACTGTCGATTTCGAGGGTGGCGAGCTACCGACGACGACGACGACGACGACGATGACATCCCGCGACAGGACCAACGAGTTCGCCAACGCGATCCGCTCCATGCAGAGCAGGGCCGTGGCGCGCACCGCCGTGAACCTGCAAAATCCGCGCCGCGCACGCCAGATACAGAGCTACTCGAACTTCATGATGATAGCCAAGAACATTGGCAAGAACATCGCCAGCACGTACGCCAAGCTGGAGAAACTTGCCCTATGTAAGAGCCCGAGACGCCGCCGCCGCCGCGTTCGGCTGCAGGCGTAGCTTAGGCCGGTTACAATATGTTGCGAATAGCGGAATATACCTTTGTTGCAAGAGAGAGATTGTGGTCGTTTTTTGGGGGGAGACAGATTTTGTGTGAAAGTTAACATTAAGTTAGACGTCAAACTGTCGAAAAGCTAGAAAGTAGTTTTTGTCACAGAAACATTTGTTAAGATTGTCATCGATGGTTACCGTTAATTTTTACTGTCCAGGATTTTATGATATACATGACGAAATAAAAGTTAGCCGTTCTAAAAACGTTAAAAATGTTCTACAATAACAGATGTCTCATGTTGCAGTGGCCAAGAGAAAATCCATATTCAACGACAGACAAATGGAGATTGAGGAGCTTACGAATATTATAAAAACAGACCTAAAAAGCTTGAATCTTCAAATCGGGAAACTGCAGGAGCTCGGAAAGTCCCAAAGAGAAAGCTACGGCTCCTCCCCGAGTCATCACATTGCCTCGCATTCCTCCTCGATTGTGATGGCATTGCAATCAAAGCTAGCTAATATGTCTAATCATTTCAAAAGTGTCTTGGAAGTTCGTTCTGAGGTAACCTAAACTAAATAGCATTCTGTCCTAGGCTGCATTTGGGGAGCGCGCTATTAGCGCTATTTGCTTATTATATCTCTGTTTTACGCAATGAGCGATAGACAGGATGATGCAATAACGCTAATAGCCTAATAGTGTGCTCCCCGAATGCAGCTCTACATATATCAAAAAGTTGTTTCATTTAATATCTTCTTTTTGTTGGCAATATTATTAGACAAATTTAATTAATATTAACAGTAGTGATATAAATATTATGGGACATTAAGAATGATAATGTGTAAATTATTATTTGATGCAGAATATGAGAGAGGAGCAAAGTAGGAGACAGCAGTTCACTCAAGGGTCTCTGTCCACTATGCTTCCCCCGAGTGTCGTTTCTGGAAAACAAGGTTCCTTGTTGCTGCAAGAAGAAATTTCGGGTAATTCAGTTGCGATAGATCTTGAACCTGCGATGAGTCAGCAGTTACAACAACAATTTATACAAGATGATACTGTAAGTAATAGCGGCAAGTGTGAGAAGTAATTTAATATAATGGCGAGTACATGTATCTATATTTCTTAAAGGATGCGTACGTGCAATCGAGAGCTGAAACAATGCAGAACATAGAATCTACTATAGTTGAATTAGGGGGTATTTTCCAGCAATTGGCGCATATGGTTAAGGAACAAGAAGAAATGGTTGAAAGGTGAGAAGAAATTATCTGACGATTCTAAAAGAAACAAAGACCGTTATCTTGAAAAAGCATTTAAATTTGTCAAAATATTTCACAAGTATAAAAATTCTCAAATATAATCAATTTACAGGATAGATAGCAATATAGAAGATACTGAGCTAAACGTGGAAGCTGCGCACACCGAAATACTGAAGTACTTTCAGTCTGTGACAAGCAATAGGTGGCTAATGATAAAGATATTTGCGGTCCTGATATTTTTCTTTATATTTTTTGTAGTGTTTTTAGCGTAACCCTACCGATAATTTGTATTTATAATATCATTACACGCGTTATCATCCATATCCACTATTTGTGATATAACGAACAGAGAGAAAACGGTTTTTATATAAAGTTGCGATATACGGTGGAGCAAAAAAGTATTTGCACAACCCAGTTTTCTTACAATAACTTTATTCGAAGGAATAATACATTGTGTTCACGAGTAACTTATTACCTATACCGTATGTAATAAATTACTTATGTACACCAATTCGTACTTATGTATTATTCCTTCGAATAAAGTTAGTGTAAGAAAACTGGATGTGCAAATACTTTTTTGATCCACTGTACGTACAGGCTAAAATGAAAGATATTACGCGCATTCCTCACCCTTTCCCTGAATTGTGAATATTGTAAGTACATTTAAATATTACATTACTTGTATATCTCGCATTTCACTGAATATAAAATGTAAAAAGGAAATATTTCTATAGATAATAAATACATAATTTTCATTTTTGAGGGCAAACGATTTTACAACTAAGTTAAATTTTACAAATTGCGTTTTATAACGAATATAAGCATCGAAAATAAAAGATGATTTATATATACTTATATATCATAAATTATCTATATGTTTTTAACATTTTATTTTGGTTATTTTAATTTTTTAAAAGAGTTAAAAGATATTTAATTCCTTTTATTTTAGCTAAAACAATATAATTAAATCCGCAATAACTCTGACAACAGCCAATCATAATAAATTACAATTTATTTAAATTTTTAAAATCATATAACAATTATCTTTTGTATTCTACATCGATTATGAGAACTTTATTACAATATCTTATCTATTCCGAGTTGAACATTTGATACCTAAAATATGCATGTTATCAGAAATGTATAACTTAATTACGAATATGCAATGCTTCTTTCGTTTTCATAATACAATCAAGATATATAAAAATATTTTTATCAATTGTTACAAATAACTTGTTATACATGTTTTGTAAAATAAAAAAATTACTAATTTGACAGATAACTCATGATAAAAAGATAGCTCCTACATCGCTTTCGATTAACGAAAGCAATAGAAAAAAAGTCTATTATATAACAATCACAGATATAATAACAGCATTAAAGACAGATGACACTGTTTAATGAGTCCTTATATGTATAAATACGTTTCTTCTATTAATATTTGACGTAAAATTTTCATCATCACATATTTATTTATAATTGTTATACAATGAGAACGCTCACTGATACAGTGATGATTTGGCCTTTGTACAAGTGTAATTGAATAACAAGATACAAAACTTAGACTTTCCCATGATGCGCCTTATCCAGTGATTCGCCTGAAGAATGTAAGGAACCTAAAACAATTAATATATAATTTAGTCGAATGTATCTCTTTCAGTGTATATTCTTTAGTTGCTGCGATACACGCAAATAAAAGAGTAAATCTACTAAATAATAAAGAGTACTACAGTTTAGAATGCAGAACGGTAATAAAAAATAGTTATTTGTGTAACAAGTGAGGTAAGATGAAAATTCCCGGGTGCGGAGTTTACGCACGAGCCGAAGGCGAGTGCGGTAACCGCACCCGGGAATTTTCATCTTTACACACGGCTTACACTCCCTATTTTATGTTGCAAGTGCCTGGAAAGTGGTCTATCACGCACGCGTAGCGTGCGTAATGGGGCACTTTCCATGCACGTGTTGCATAAATAAATTTTACTAAATTATTATACAAAATGCAATAGAAAATTTAGAATAGCTTTTAGTTAAAAAAGAAATAGATTTTTAATAACGACAATAATAAAAATGATATATATCAAAAATATGCTAAAAATTTGCGAGTACATTGTGTGTGCCGTTAGCATAAATTAAAATCATTGATTATATACTCTTTAACCTGACATTTATTTGGCATTATTTCCTTCCATAGTACTCCAAAACTGTCTCACTTTAGAGAAACGTTTGCGTCCTTGCATGCACAAAAATAAAAAAAGGCAGATAATAATGACAATAAAAAAAAAACACAAACTTCCCAAAAGAGTGGAAAACGTTAGGCGGATCTAACGGATTAACGCTATGTGGCATGCCGGTGAAATGCGTGTCGTCGCTCAGTGGTGCGTCGTATCGTTTTCACAAACCTTTATGATTGCGCGCACGTTGCTCTCGTTGATGAGGATGAAAACCAGAGTTACGCGGGTGCGGCAGTAAGTCTTCACCCCATATTCCGGGCAATATCGAGCCGGGTGGAGGAAGGGGCGGGATATGATCACCACCGTACAGAGGAAGCGGTGGCGATCTATGGTGATCGAACGGTGGAAGTAAATGCGGCGGAGACATAGGTGGTGGTGGGGAACCGGCGTTCTCGTACCTGCCCCCGGAGACCGGGGGGCGATGTAACGCCGGCGGCGGTAACAACGGCGGAGGTGACGACAATCTGCCGCCGAGTGGCGGAGGACGTTGACTGATATCGTACGGAGGTAGACCGGAAGCAGCGGCGTGCGGCAACGGCGGCAGATACGCCGGGAAACAGTGTAGATAGGAGGGTGGCGGGGGTGGCGGGACTCCCGAGGAACCGCTAAACATTACGGGTGAACTGGACGAGTCTGCGAACAGTTGCGGGGAAGTCGCCGTTTCCCCGTTTGCTTCCAGGCCTGTGTTTGGAAATCAGTTTAAGAAAACAGACAATCGAGAGGGTTCTAGTTCCGTCGTGCGATATTTTGCGATCCATCCGTCTGTAGATGAACGTTGTCAAAGTGCTTATTATCTTGGATGATATTACTGTATAGATTTAATTGTCACTTGCTAAAAAAAACTAAATTACTCTACGGATCGCAACGTTACTGTTAATTGTTACTACGCGTTACAATTTCTACAAGACATTTACAATAAATCATTATCTACGAAAGATGGATATGCATTTCTATATGAAAAAAGTAAAAGTTAATATAAACGACGATAAAATCTGATTCAAGCTAAAGTTATACTTGATGATTCGTTATCAGATTATTCGCTAAATACGGGTATAATTAATATCTCGTAACAGGAATACTTACGATGTAGCTTTGCTTCGGGATCGGTGTCATTTAAATTTTTCTCTACCAGTGTAAGGCGATTACGTAATTGGCCGGCCTCGGCTTTCGATTCTTCCAAACGGCGCTCATTTTGACGGGCAGCAACCTTATAAAATAAACGAAGTTTTATATGAGTACGTCCCTTCAGTAGCATATATACTCATATTCTTCTCACATGTGTCATACATACCCATTGCTCATGTGCTTTCGTTTCTAGAGCGGATATTTGATTTTTGTATTCCCTCTCTTGATCCACGATCTCCCGTTTCAACATCTCCATTTGTTGCCTGAAATTCAATTTCCTGTAATTAACTAATTGCAGCGCATAAACTTGTTAAACAAATTCTCGTAACCGTAACGATGCGCATAAAAGTATCCAATTAGCTCTAACGACATACATTTCGTAAATTAAATTTGTCTTTGACATAAATGTTGTATCAAAATGGTACACGGTCATGCTTACTTGTAATTTTGAATTTCATTTTGCATCGTATGTAGCCTTTCGACCGTCGATACAACTTCTCCTTGTTTTTGCAACCAAATGGCCTCTTCCCTAAGATGATTATAGCGTTAATGATTTGTTCAAGTATAAGATATATAACTCTAAAATGTAAAATTCTACGAGTAATCGTCACTTACTTCTGGCGTTCGGTTTCCTTGTCTTGGAAGAACTTTGATAAAACCTCAAGTCGTGTTTCTGCATCTTTCTTTTCTTTTTCAGCAATTTTACACTGCTCGCTTAGTGCAATTATTTCTTCTTTAACAAGCTTCATATGCTCTGAGACACAAAGGTATTATTATTAACAAGATTTAGTTTAAAAAATGTCGATCATGAAAGGTGAAATTTTAAATATCTTTATCTTTAAGACAGTACCTTCTAGTAACTGATGAGCGCCGTCAACATCGCTTAATCGCATCTTTAATTCATCTCTCTCCTCGCGCAGTTGTACTACCTCAATTTTAATGTGAGATACGTCATATAACTTTTCCAAGTCTAAGTTGTTTGACTTGACTTGACTGATAATTTCCAATAGTTCTTTCACCTCTATCTCTTTGCCTCTCAATTCTTTATATAATGACGACTTCTCAGTAGACAGCTAAGAAAAATTATAATAATCATATATTAAGCATCTATCAATTATTAAACATATTTCAATTTCTATATATTAATTTTGACTAATGTATATAATTACGAACTTACTTCTTCTACTTGCTCTTCCAAACTACATACTTTATCTGTCAGCGTTTGTTCTATATTACTTTTACGATTTTTCTGAGTCATCAGTTCATCCTGTGTTCGCAAATATTCTATTTCAAGTTCTTCACACTTCTTCTTAGCAGAGGCAAGATCTGCTGATAAAGTATCAATCTGCAATAAATTCGTCGTGTATATTAATTAACATGTAAATCATCTATTAAAAATTAATAGACAAGATAATAAATAAATAAGCAGAAAGTAAAAGAAAGAAATAAAAAATATTAATTTAAAAAATCTGAATATACTAATATAAATAATATAATCTTTAAAAATATTTAATTTGTGCAAATATCCAAACAAATATAAACCTCAAGTTTATTAAACTCACGTTCATCACAGAAATAAAAAAATTAATGATTCTCTAATTCAAAAAATCCACCGATTTAGAAACACTATTGTAAAAAAATTGTGCTCTTACCTCTTGAGCCTTAAGATTTAATGCATTCGTCAAGGATTCGTTCGCCGCTTGTTGAGCGTCTAATCGTGCCTGTAGATCTTCCACCGATTGAGCTATCGGATTAACTTCATTGTTCGACGACAGAACTTCTCTTAACATACGCTCGAGTTCTAATCCAGCTTCCGTTGCATTTTCCAAATCTTTCTCCAACATACTCACTTGTTCTTCCAACTCCATCTTCGCGTTCTACGACAGAAAAACGCCGATAACAGAATGTGCATTTTGAATTCGTATGGACATAAAAAAAAAGAACGAAAAATATTTGTGCATGTACCTGTGCCATTTCTAAATCAGCTTTTAGCGATACAACCATTTCGTTAGAACCAAATGATTCATCTTCTATGCAATGCAACTAAAATATTTAAGTTTTAGTACATATATGACCGGATTTTAATGATAGAAAAAGAAAACGTGCGAGTAGTACGAAGTAGCGGAGAATCAGTTTATTCGTGTACACTGCTTACCTTAGTCTTAGTAGATTTTAGATTCTCACTGAGTACTTCGCATTCTTTTGTTGAGATTAATAATTCTTTCTCGAGTTGATTAATCCTCGCGATGAGTTGTCCGTCTCTTCTTGTTTTCTGGAGGAAAATATATATAGGATTATGCTTTATTAAATGACGTTACTTAAATACTTTGCATGATTAGTCATACAAAAATATTTATAGCACAAAACAGCATTTATGACACAAAATAGAAATAAATTATAATTAATGAGGCTGCTTCAAATACGATTTTAGAACAAGCTTAAATTACAGATTTGATTTAATTCGGTTTCGATCTTTAAATATAAGCAAGATATTTTTACCTCAATGTAGTAATATCCAAGAGTGAATACAAGTGTTGTAAAGGCTGTTACACACAGATATATCAGTGTCTTCCAATAATTATGATCCACCAATTTTGATATATCAATCGAATTATCCTCTTCATTTTCAAGGTCTCCCATCTATTGCAAAGAAAAAAAATTGTTATACCGTATACGTAACAGAATACATAAATAATCACACAGAAATTCTCTGCGAGACTTACTTGGTTCAGAAACTCAGCTGTTGTCTCGGTTATGCATTCGTGATCATCCATACAAATTTTATCTGTAGTTACTGTGCAAAAATAATAATATTTTTATACAACTTTTAAAAGTATTATTAAACATATTATAGTAGAATAATTACCCTCCATTTCGCCTGATACAGATGTAGATTCCGGCTTCTCCAAGCTATTATCCTCATCTTTATTTTCAGGCAAATTATCCTCACTGCTTGTGTGATCACCATATTCAGGTAAGGTTTCTTCCTCCTTCACAGGCTGACTTTCGACTAAACATACAAAGCATCTAAATTTAGATATAACCAATATAAACAAAGATTAATATTATATGTTTTATATAAAACACTCTTCTGTATACTATTAATTAATAACTTACTATCTTCGTGTTTCAAATTTTCTTTAATACTCGATAAATCTCGTTTCTTGAGAATATCGTTTAAAGTCATTGTTTGTTCCGAGATAATACTCTCTTGACTAGAATCCATAGATTGCTCTGGCCCGAGAACGTTAGATTTCGCACTGTTCGAGAATTCGTTAGATTCTATAGGAACATTGTCAGAGCTAGTATCATTGACTAAATTATCATTTTTATTTACATTACTATGTACAATTGATTCTTTATTAAATTGAATATCTGCAGCGCTATGATTTAATGCCTCTTCTGCAATTGCTATATTTTCAACAGAATGACTCTCAGGAATTGATTCTGTTGTAATATTTTCTGTTGTTTCAGACGGTAAGCTACTGGTTTCTAAAATTTCAGCAATTACAGTTTTATCAGCTTGGCCAATTGTTTCTTTATTATCTTCCTTTGAACTTTCTAGATATGCTTCACCGCTTCCTGGTAATTTCCGCTCTTTATCGTCGCTGCTTCGAGTAGCGGTTTTTGTGACTATAGTCTCTTGCAAATTAGACAAGATTGTTGAGTCTTCTTTATCAGAAATAATTGCACCGTCGGCCCTTACATCTTCCTTAACTTTCTCTGCCTCACTTGTTGTTTCCTGTATTTGAATATTTTCAACATCGGCTTTTACAGAAGCGAAATTATCGTCCGCTGAAATCGGAGGTGTTGTTGGCAATTCTTTGGCAGGTTCATCAGCATTTTCATGTACAAAATTATTGTGTAAAGGCACGTCACTAGATGTAGTATGTTCCAAAATAATCGTGGGAGCTTCTTTTATATTTTCATCTGAGATTTTTGCACCTTCAATGGTCTCGTGTATAATTTCTTGCTGCGTTTCTACTTTTTCTTTATCTATAATACTTTGGTCTATACTTGAATCCAACTTTATTTGAGGTGAAAGAATTTTTTCGGCATCCTCAACTCCAATATCTTCTGAAACTTGTTCCTCTAATTGCAAATTGCTGTCAACAACAATTTCAGGAGCAACTATGTCATCGCTGCTTTGAGTAGTGGTGCTCTCTGTTGCCACAGTTTCTTCCGAGTTGGATAAAATTTTAAATGTTTTCGTAATGGAGGCAAATATACCGTCGCTTTCGACTTGTTCGATAACTTTCTCTTTCTCGTTGTCTTTTGCACTGCTGTCCAACTCTTTCGTATGTTCTCCATTTTTTAACAAATCTTCCTCGGACTTACTACTTCCATCGAGCTCGGCAATGTCATCTTTGCTCACTGTCTCTAAGGTTGAACTGATTATTGCTTCTGGATTCTCTAATGGTACGTCGGAGCTAGTTGGTTTCTGAGTATCTGTCGACAATTGAATGCCTTCTAATTTACCACTGGCGTCACTCGCATCCGGTTGTAATTCTTTGTCGTCAATGAGTGTATTCTTGTCGGATGATGATCTTTCGTGATCTATTTCAAAATCAGGAGCCACTGAAGCTTTTTCATACGGCAATGCAGTAGCGTGCGTAACTTTATGTACAAAGCTAGGTTGCACAGATGGAGTACTCTCAAAATAAACTGTAGTACCATCTATCACTTCGTAAGAAGGTGATATGCTATCTACATTGATTGCATGAGATTCTTCTGTGGTACTTTCATCTATAGATTTCAATGACGGAGTCTTATTATCATCCCCAGATAAATCATCTTTCAACAAAGTATGCGATTCGCCACTCTCTTCCACTGTCGACTCGAGTTTCTTAGGCTGAACTTTGTTAGCTTCACCATTAAACTTATAAACAGGCACTTCGTATGACAAATCAGGTCTCAGAATTTTATATTCGTTTAGGAATGATTTGGGTGCAAATCCACGCTTGCCATTTATCTGAAACAGAGATCAGTGCATGAAGAAAATATGTATATCTTTTACAGAACCAAGAGATCGATCTTACGACATTTGACAGGAAAAGTTAGTCTTTAAAAATACGACTAATAAAAATGTATCACGTCACGATAAAGTCAATAACATTCAGGTAAAAAGATAATAAAGTATATACCTCGACACCCCATAAATCAGTCCGTTTGCCAGCGCCTTTACTAAAAACTTTTACATCTGCGTTGCTACCAAATGACATCACCTCACGATCGTTCGTTCTGTAAGCGAGTGTGGTCCTGGCCAACGAAATGGGTTCTAAATAACAGCGGAAAGCAATGCAATGATAATGATACGGCTAAGTGGAAGAAAAGTGTGTTATGGGATTCAGGGTTAAAGTATGGCTTCAATTACCCGAACAATTGGGGTCGTAACATAATTGTTTGTCCGACAGGGCGGCTAGGCATTGCGGTATTACGCAGAGAATTGTCGCGGCACGCAGAAACGAGACATATGTAAACGGCTTTATTTTCGTCATATTTTCACCGTTGCAAAGTTCCACATCACTCTACCGACACCGACGTCTCTACATATACAATGACACACACTATTCCACAGACGTGACAGACGCACAAGTCACAACGTGACCATAAACTACGTGCTTACGTAGAGAACGAACTCATTCGTTTTCTTTAATAGCCAATATAGCCGTATTGCGGTTGAGCGCGAGCAGCGTCTTCGTTTCGAAATCCTAAAATTTGAAATTCTGGGAATTCTCCGAATTCCTGCGTTTCTTAAAATTTTTGAAAAATTCTTGAATTTTTTATAGTGCCACCTCCTTATCAATTATATTCTACTTTGTCGATTTTCGGGAATTTAGATTTTCACGATTACAAATCTTGAATTCTTGAAAATTAGGACAATTCTTGGGATTTAAATAGTGCAATCTCCTTAGATTATATAATTTTATAACTGACCAACGTCAGTTTGAAGCTGACCTTTGTCAGCTTTCTAGATTTTTTATTTTCTTGGAATTTAATAATTTAGTTTAAGTTTTTAATTAAGACACACATAAAGTACTTTCTCTTGATATTCTCTTGCAGATATCAGATTCATATGTTGAAAGCTATTAATTTGAATAAAACTTTAACAAAGATGATAATTATAATATTAGCGAGACATTTAATATTAAAAATTAAGAAATGACGATACAAATTTACCTCGAAATTTTTATTACAACTTTTTGGAGGAATAAATGTTTGCTGGAGGATAAATGAAAGACTTGGTGATATATAGAAGGAATTTAATAATATTATCTTAATTTTTTTTAACATATTTTGTTCTACATGACTAGATTATAAAAGCAATTAAAAATTTACGGATTTAACAATATTAAATATTATGCATCACAAAAAATGTTATATAGATATATTGAAATTTCACAATGTAAGTGCGCATTCTGGTCTCTCTTTTAAAAGAGCTTCAATTCATCTTGTTCTTACACATATAAAAAATACTTAAGCCTCTTTTGTATATGACAAAATACAAAATAATTTCTATAGTAATATGTAACACATTTTCACAATAATTTGTCTGTCGAACATTAAATATGTAACAGATATTTCTAAAAAAAAAAAAAAAAATTCAAGAAAGTCGTAGCAAAATTTAAATATTTTATCTTATACAAATTCTTTCAGTTTGTCATTTAATTTTCTCCTGTATTACATAAAGTATACTTGTTTTGATATTCTTCTTCTCCGAGATTCTTTTCACAAATATTGGAAACAAAAACCGTGAGAAACTGCAACAACTCGTAAAATATATTCTGTAAATAACAAAGCAGAATACTATCTAAGAAATATTGTAAAATAAGAAGATGACTAATCCTTATATAAGACACGCGTAGCCATAAACATTGGAAAAATATACAAAGAGAACTGTAATTCTTTTTTTCTTTCAATCGATTACTTAATACATAACGCGATATTATGAACAATTGTATAAATATTTAATCATTCAGTTATATTGTAACGCTATAGATTACGCGCTGACGCGAAGCGAAATTTAGCTGTACATAACTTTATTGTTCTTAAATATCTCCTGCGTAAATTTTAAAATAATAACGACTTATGAAGCAGGTATATATCGTGGAACTTATTATGCAAGTCAATACAGAAACTAATTCTAATTAATCTAACTTCAATTCTCACAGTGTCACTCTCTGCATGAATTCAATTCCAATATTTTCAGCGTCATAACGTTAATATTCTAGAGTGTATACAAATGCACAGCATGATGCTACGTCTAAATATTATTTCTATCATGAAAAATAATATCGTATGACTTCGGAAAAATTTAGGAAACATTTTATATATATATACAATATAATATATATTATATTATATTATATATTATATATAAATATATAATATATATTATACGTATATAAAATATATATTATATACGTATATATATATATATGTATATATTACAAGTATATATTTGAGTCGCATGTCTAATTTTGTGCCATAACGCTTTACAATTGACTACTACAGCAGCGATTATAAACTTTATAAATTCTTTATATCTCCTCGTCGAAGATTGTAAGTATAGCAAATGCTAGTTATCACTACTATTACGCCTATGTATATATAATACTATATACATAGTGTCTCAGGCACTTCAAATTTACTGTCAAGAGTTTAGATTCTTTGGCAATTTTGAAGTCAACTCGATGCCATTTCTCTTCGCGCAATTTCTTAATCTTTAACATTCAACATTTTGGCAACTAAGATCTGAACCGAAAATCTAAAATTTAATTACCAAAATTCTGTAATTTTTCGGTCACTTAACTGTAAAATTGGTTAACGCATCGATAGCGAAGCAAATCTATTTACAATTAGATTTTTAATTTGGCCTCTAACAATTGCAGTCCGGCATAGAATGCCTGAGACACCCCGTATATAAAGACTCTTCAAACTTGCTTGCTCGAAACGAATTCAAGGCTTTATATGTAGATAATGGTATCAACTTCTCTCTCTACTTTTAAATGCTGTATCATATTTTAGTTGCGCGAAACTTGTCGAGTACACATTTAAAACATCTATCTGAAATTAGAGAAGTTCGAGAATAACTGTATTTTGTATTACACAAAAATCGCGTGTTACAAGAATATATGAATCACATAAGTGTCGTGAACGTCCAAAGTTTCTTACACTACCATTTGATTGCCATAGAGTAGGGAGAAACTAAATAGCCGGAGAAGATATTCATTAAGTAAATTCTACGTGAATTATGCGGATGAAGATCACGTTTGTTATCGCACAGCAAAAATAGAAGCGTTCTTTTATTTAAAAAAATAAGAGATTAGATAATGCAGAATCTTCTTATTCGTAAAATACGGTCGAGCCCCCGTTTTACGAAGTTATCAGGATCAAGTTTCCTTTCAGTCTTCCACTTTCTTATCCTAACAACACACATGCGAATCTGCTATCTAAATAACTGCTCTGCCTTTCACTTTCTTTCTCATTCACTGTGGTAAATATCAGTAAAAGGAGAATATTTGACAAAGTTACAATCGATTCAGAAAACGGAAATCACAATACGAAACTTCATAAAACAAAGAGTCGACTGTGATCGATTCTCTATTAATAATATTTTATATTTCTATTCCATCAAAAGAATTGCATAAATACATGTGCGCGGAAATGAGAGATATTATACTTTATGTGTGCATTGTCACATATTAATTGCAATTAAATACAAGATATAAAAATATTGAAAATTAAATAAGCTGTAAGTACAATTGCCATATATTCATTATTAAAATGTAAAATATGCGATTCTTGGAATAAAAAAATATGCGACATTGATTGGCATAACGAAATTAAATTAATTATCTTGTATTATCAATGCACCAAAGTTTCTGCATTACACATTTCCTTGTAAGTACGATAATAAATCTCTGTGCAATAAAACCGGCGAAAGAAAAACTCAAGGCGCGTTAAGATTCATATAGTAAGCTAATGTCATTTGTAGAGTTCACGCAGTCTTTGTAAATATAGCGTATTATCAGATCAGTTTCAAGTAAATTTAGAAAATATATGTTTACTATATTTGTATGATTTACGTTGTATGATTTACGTCGTATGATGATTAAAACAAAAATTGATGAGCGTAAAGGCTAATGCAGTGAAGATAATGCGAACCTTTGTAGATTATTATTAAAATAGAACAATGATAAATGAGCGTTTTCACTTTATACAGTATTAATGTAAATCACATCAATTCCTACTAAACTACAAAATTGGAATCATATTTTCGTCTATCATTTAACACCAAGCTATTTTTGTAACTCATCGATCACCTTCTAAATTTCGTCGAATATTAACATCAATTGAACGCTTATTTCACTTTAAATATATGTGGTTTTTAGAAACCAACAAGAGTAAAGGCAACATTTTTTAATTCTTTTTTTATGAAATTAGATCTATAAGTTTTCATAAAGTCGAGGTAAATATCTTTCGTCTGAGTACTTTCTCACTACAAATCAACTAATCATTCTCAAGATTGAAAATGAGAAACACGCATCGCTAAATTTATACAACTTTACATCAAAATGTAATAAATTCCACGTACCTTACATACAACTTTACTAATAGTCTTGTAATAATCTAGTATTGCTTTGCTAAATAGGAAAAATATTCGCTCAACATATCGTAGACTTATTACAAAATTAATGATATTAAAATATAGTAATAAATTTGTGTCCGAGAATAGTATTAAATGTAAGCAAATTTTTTAATGTGTGTGCCTTCAAAAATATTAAACATTAAAATTGTCTATATAAATTTTAATATACGAATTAACGCAATATCACGTAAAGACGTTTTTTAAGACTTTTTTTCTTTACCCTGAATATGTAACGACAATAAAAGGCACAGAACCGTATAGAACCGTAACAAGTGATTATAAATGGCACAGTTTTGTCTATTGTTATCGTAATAAATTAAAACGATATTAATCTTACGAACAGCTAATACAGGATTAATAAAAATCCTTAAATGATTATTAAATATTATAGTTGTAAAAAGGAAGAGGAAAGGTTGACAATCAATTCCACATTTATGAGAAACATATAAATTCAGAATTTCTGCGGAGTGTCTGATATATCTTATTATGTATCGTTTGTAGAATGGCAAACACTACCACATCGTTGATTTGAATGTACTGTCATTGGAAATGAAGGATTTAGTCACGCTGAGAAAATCGTTGTTTAACTGTATCCTAACTGCACTTTGCGGCATTGGCAAAGCCATTTGATAATACGTGCGTTTCGCTCGACGATACTCGGCGGATCGTTTACCCTTTGGTTAGACTCGTCGTTACCCATGCCGATACTACAGTTGTTTTGCCACTGGCTACCCTGGTTCGTCTGATTAGTGCCGACCCAGGAGTAGAGACCCAACGCCGAATCCACGGAGCTGACGCTGTCGAAGAATACGGGCGACGACGACTTGGACTCAGGTTCCGTTATACGCTGATAGTTATCCGAGTCCAGTCCTAAACGGTCGAAGAAGTTCTCGAGCTGAGTCATCGATCGCGGCGGGCGGGAGGATACTTTGCTGGAACGGCCGTTATCCTGACGCCAATATCGATCGCTGATGTCTGATTTCGATCGTAGGATCGGTCGACCGCGACCTTCCTTCCAACCGTCGGAGAACCTAAAGTCACAATAGAAGGATAAAATTAATGATCAATTATAAAACGTTGTCGTGTTGTTAATTTTCTTCGGGTGGACAATAGGCGTTCTAAATCTTAATTTACAAACATCTCAGGCGATTGAAAGAGGAGGGCATCTAAAATACCTTGAGTTACAAGTCGGGCTGTAGTCCGTTTGACTATTGGTACTTTCAGAATCCGGGCTGTAGTGTCTCACAACGGACGGCGGTGTCCCGCCGATGTAGCTACCTTTCCTCGATCTATCTTTCTCGGTAGAATGTTGCGTGGACGCGCCACTGTCTCTGCGTATGTGAGCCCAGCAATCCTGCGAGAGATCGACGATGATTAAGGTCAAACAGTCTTATGCTTGGGATATATATATCTCGTCAGATATCCCGGTTTATACCTGTATCCTAGGTGCTGGTTCGCTACGATGAGTACAGTGTCCAGAGGAACCGCCGGAGTCTCTAGCTGTCGCACCGTGGCTCAACTTGCTGGAACCCGACGACTTTTGCGTTCGTCCGCCCGAGGATAACACGCTGCTCGCATCGCCACCACCGGATCCCAAAGATCGCCTGATATGGCGAGAACTGAAAGTTAGATAAGAAGCTGTACCAATTAATCACGTTTTCACTTGGAGTCGGCTAGAAAAGTTGCTGTAGAACCGGATATAATGTACTCGGCAATTTTTACCGTTATCAAACGGTGATGATTCACCGCTAAATCACCTACCTGCGATAACAAACGGCGTCGCGTTTAAAACTGTGGTCCGAATAGTCCGAGCTAGTTTCATAGTCCGGACAATTGCTCGTGATCGTAGCTTGGTGATGAGCGGTCGGCTTCGCGGCTACTTTCGTGGATGCGCGCGGCGAGAGGGACGCTCGGCGACGCGTGCTCGTGTGAAGATCCGGCAGCGACTTGTGGCATATCGTATTTTCCACCGACGGGGAGCTGTTCGACTTCCGACCGGACCTACCGGAAGTGTGCGAGTGCGAGTTGCTTCTGCCGAACTTGAAGCGAACGTCTTGAGGCGCGCAATGCTGCGGAACAAATAGCGCAACGTGTAACGATACAATCAACGCAGTGTTCATTGATAAACCGCGTGTATAAATTCCGTTGACAAAAAATACGCGCTCGCGTGTGTGTGTATAATTTATGTACGCTGGAATGCATCAATAAGAAGCTTAAAATAGCGACTATATGCGAAAGATGAGTGACGGTATTATAACACGGAGCGAAGATCAATATGCGATTTCCTCCTCACCAGGACGCGATCCTCGTCCCGACAGCCGGGCGAGAGACTTCCGGGCGAGTATCGGAATTTCTCCTCTCGCGTCGGCAGCCCGTTGCTCTGCGCCGTACTCTGCGGCGGACTGTCCGGAAAGAACATGTTCTCCTTGCTGTCGGTGTTCAGCAGTCGACGCAGCTTTGTTTGCAGCTCGCCCCCGGTACCGCTCGGGGGCCCCGAAATCGTCCGTCTTTGGGGAACCGGAACCAAACGTGGACTCTTCGGTGGCAGCGCGGGTGGCAGTGTTTGTTGAGGACTCAGAATACCGTCTACTGCGAAACAGGAACGACAATAGACTTTAAAAGATAATTAATAATTTAAAAAATGCAAAAATAACGAAACATTCGAAACTGCATCGAAGATATGATTCTTCTAGAACCTAGCTGGAGCTTCTTTCAAACAAAATAGAATTTCGCAGATCTTTTTGATCAGACCGTCCCACGTGTGCCGGGATTATCCTCGCAAGAGTTCTGCCGGTGACTTACGTCTGTCCTGTTCGTGACACGAAACCCAGCAGCAGGGCGGCGTCATGGGAGTCGGTTGCAACTGCGACGGCGACGTCGGCTGCATAGGGCAGGCGGACGAGTTGCCGGTGCATTTCCGCAGCAATCTCGGCGGCGGTGCGCCGGGCGCGCTCAGCTGCGAGACCTGCAAGTGGCCGCTGTTCTTCAGCTCCTGCTTCCGGTCCAGCACGGTCTCGCTCTTCACGTAGAAGGCTTTCGTCTCCTGCAGCAGCTCCACGGCGCTCTTCCGCTTCCCTGCGGCACGCACGTGGCGTAAAAGGAAAAAAATTAAGGAACTGGCGAGACCACTACCGGCGTAAATAATCCGCTTCCTGGAAGGGGACACCGTTTTCGTGCCCGATTTCATATACCCGGTCTATCTGGTTGAACCACGTGCGACGGCGGCGGTGTCCCCCACGTAGCCGCTAAATTTATGAAAGCCGCGGCTCTCCTCTTTAGAATATTAGCTCCCAACAGGGCCTTTCATCTCCGATATTTACGTTAGGCTTATCGAGTGTCCCGGAAGTGTCGCATTTCACGCAGGTATGCGTCGCCTCGGCTTATATTCGTGGCTTATCGTTTTATGAACAAGTATTTTACGGACATCCGCGCGCCTTCGCTTACTCTAAAACCCGTTATCGCGTTTGCTCACGTGCAATTTTCATTTATTACAGAGAGAAAATACGCGCGAGGCGTGCACACTTCCAGGACGCGCGCAGAAAAGTCCATGATCCGAATAAGTCGATGCTACGAAATTGTTTCGAATAATTACGAGCGAGACTGTTTAATATTCAATCCGCGCGCGCGAGCGCGAGGCGTTTATTAAGAAACGTGATGAAATGCTAATGCGGAACGTACGAATCGGCTGTTGCATGCGAAATAGAGTCCCGCCAATTAGAGCGGCTTTCACATATAATCTTACTTATACTAATTGGCAATTTGGCGATAATCTCGTTCCGCGCGCGGATCCGCAAACCGGATATTCCCGATATGTTATAGGAAGAGGAACATATCGGCGCGCGGAGAACGCGGTTCAGTCACCAGCTGGTCCGCTGGGTTTTAATCAACGACGCGCGGCGCGTATCGCCTCGTTATCAATCATTTCTCGCCACCGAGAAACGATTCCTTTCATTGTCGTCAGAACTGATCTGTTCAACACGTTCCTATATGGCATCGTCGACGTCGATCGCGTCATCGCGAAGCGACGTACAGATATCTAGGCGAAGCAACGTCTTCGCTTGTGTGCCGAGGGCAAGTGTTAACGACGAGGGCGAGCAACGCCGACGAACGGCAGAGGCAACATCTGCGAATCTGCGCCTCTTGGTTCTCCTTCTGTTTTCGCGTCGCCGACATGATTGACGACATGTGCCCGCCGTCGTCCGACACGCACATGTCCCCGCGGAGTACGCCGGCCCGATAAAACCCGGCGCTACTCCCCGGAGAAGCAACCACCGACCAGGATAATAGCTGATGGGACACATACCGGCGATGAGAAAAAAGAAAAGAAAAGAAAAAGAGAGCCGGTACGACAGAGGCAACGTCAAGGCCACGTACTGTAACATATGGCGAAATCTCGACGGGGAGAATATAAAAACTCCGATGGACTTTCTATCGCTTCGTGCTTGCTCATTCATGTTGCACGACTATCTCTTCGTTAGGTTCCGGTGTAAATTTCAATCAAATTAAAATTAATTAAGAATTGATTGTAATTTCATGGTATTTACAAGTTTATCAATAATTACTTATAATTACTTGCTTCTAATCATAACTTATCTATATAGTATATAATATAAACGTTATACAAAGAAAAAAAGGAAATGTCAAATCGAAACTTATTTGTATATACGCATATATCTATAATCTTCTTATGAGAATTTCAACTTTTTATTTCAACTTTTTTTTCTTGGTTGAATTCTATAAATGACTTTATTCATGCAAGTCTTCTTCGTTTAACGCAATATAATCTCATTGCATCATTATAGATTATAAACTCAACATTATAGATTGTTGCGATATACGAGAGTATATGAGTGTTCATTTAATACTTCTTTTTTTCTGTGTAATTTATCCTTCTGCTCATTTTTCTTCAAGCTTCCTATATTCAATGCGATTTAGGCACGAGTGATAACGCAACTTCAATAATTTTCCTTTTCCTTTTCAATAGACACTTCATCGCAAGTATTTTCGTAGATGTGAAACTTCGGCTAATATCCATCAGGCATTTCTTTTCGTGTTAAATAAAGGAACCCGTCGCAGTTAGAGAAAATTAATGTCGATCTTTGAGAGAATCATAGTTCACTATCGCGGAGCGTATTGGTTGACGTGCTATCGCAGCGCTGAATTCGTTGGATCGAATCGCGGCATTGCGCTCGCTATAAATTGTCGAAACGAGGCTATCGGACTATCGGCGTCCGTCCTTAATCGGACGTGACGCGATCGCGCACAATGGTACGTTAATGACGAAGATAATCCGTATTGTCGTAAAGCCGAAAAATGGAACGGATAATTTCTCATCGCGGGGGACGTAACTGCGAAACGTATAACTCTCCGCGAGTATATTTAGCCAGTATATTTAGAAAAGCGTATATCGGGAAATAAAATGTTTAAAAAACTGGAACGGAAGCGATGGCAATGAATTCATCGCTGAATAAAACTCGATTTCGAGTTAATTCGCGCACGCAACCTCGTGCGATAACTCAAAACCGACAATATTTCCCTTCCGTACGCTTTCGCTCGGCGTAAGCTCGCTGATTCGCCAGCAACGGAATTTGTCATCGGCACATGGCGGAAATTCGTCTCGCATCTGGCGGGGACTTGGAGCGATTCGAGAAACGCGTGTAGAGATTTCTTTCTTTCATTTTTTTTCCTTCCCCTTTGAAAGCAAGTGCACTCGTCAATAATAGCGACGCCTTGACGCATCGATTCGAGATGCGATTCGCGATGCGCACACGGTTCGCATATACGGGCTCCTCACCTGTATGGTCGATGTGCCGATGATGATTTCTGACGTACGGCGGCGCGGGATGCCGGGCCTGCTGCATGTCCCAGTACGGGTTCCGGGGGTTCCCGAAATTCATTCGCGTCTGCTGCGAGGGCGAAGACGATTGCTTGCAGGGCAGCCGGGCCATGGCAGCCGTCATCTTCTTTCACGGGATCTAAGCTGATTGCCTGATGGTGAACGTCCCGCTCAGTTTGTTACGCCGTCGTCTCGGCCCCATTTTCGAGCTGTTGTCTCCTCTCTGAAAGAGATAGACGAGAGATAAAAGCGATAAGTCACAAGCGGGGATATTAATAAACAGGCTCGAGATCGACGCTATTGTTTTCCCCACGCGATCCTATACGCGATGGGAGATCCTCAGCCTCATCGCGAAATAGATCTTTCCATTTTTTTAGAAAACGTTGTATTCATTACGGAGTTAATGAATTAATTTATTCGTAGTTACGTTATTATTGGAGGCGTAAATTCGTCGCGGCGCGATTTGATAGTTTCAATATAAAGACCATTGTTCCGGCGGGAGTATTAAGAAAATTTCGTGCGCCGTGTATAGAATTAATAAGCGTTACGGAGCTGGCGTTACGGAGTGCGTCGAGTGGGAAAGTGCCAGTTCACGCGGCTGGTTTAATATTTATCGGGCTGATTGCATTCAATGCTATCGCGGCCAGATGCCTTTCATTACCATAACACCGACTGTAATGCTGGGGGGCTACCCCCTGTTTGCCTCACAAAGGGATATAAACGCGCGGCGACACCGGAGGAGCACCTGTACTCCTCTTTACCGGATCCTCCCCTATCAATAAGCCACTCCAATTTAGATCGCGACGAAAAGGTGCGTCACTCGCTCTCGACAGCTCGCGCCCGTGGATCTCGTAACAATGTCACCTAAATTGGTTTGAAAGCCGGCGTTATAAGAGCTTAAAGTGAAAATATAAAAATAACTCCGATCGTTATAAGGTGGGGATTTATCAAGCTCCAGCTAATCTAAGAGCTCAAAACGCAATAACGCACGAAATTGTTGGAATATTTTAAATTAAGTTTGGTCCTTGAACCCGAATTATACTAGTAGAAATGTCAAGATTGTTTTAAGACTTTTTTTAATTACAAAGACACAAAGCAGTTTGTGAAAATAACACAGTGTTTATAGTACCTAGAGTTTATTATTCCCCGGCTTTAGCAAATTAATCCTCGATTGTGGAGTCACCGGAACTTTTGCCGCTTTCTTACACAGAATCAAATTTTATTTAAAGACAAATAAAATTTGATTCTATATGCGTAACTAAAATACGAAAGAATACAACGGTAAATGTGCAAAAAGAGATTATTTTCATTTCTCTTTTTCTCTTCATAAAAATAAGAATCTTTAGAATGTCACATCCATTAATGTGTAATAAAAGTATATTCACAGTTAAGGGTTAAGGCCCTCATCGACTATCCATTTATATCCATTGGAATAATCGCCGTACATGTGGTTCGAGAAGGCGACAGCTCAATAAGTTTCAATCGTAAGCTGATTTAAGGTAATTTGCAGCATGCACAAAGAATCTCTGTCCGTCTATCGTTCAAACGGCGTCGTCTGGTTTACCAATTCCAACTTTGACCAATTAGATGCAATTTATCAAGTTTAAACGTATCGGAGATAAAAAGGACACTTTCTAAATTTTACAAAAGACTAATTATGGAGTTCTGTCGGGAGATTATAAAGGCGCTTTTCGCGTAATGAGAGTTCTCGCTCAATCTGGCGGTAACTTCGGCACCGCCGAGCGGCGAAGGTATCGGTACCCCGCGAAATTTCTGCGTCCCACACGGTCCGAGAACGGGGAACTGGCGAACGGTATACCAGGTATACCTCTCGTTGAAACAGCGAAATCGTTCGACTTGACCGAGCAAAAAGCTCGGGCGGCGAGTCCTTCTCCTCCGCCGCGAGAGAAGCACACGCATACTCCAGCGTCTCCGTGCACGCGCACGCGGGGCCACGTAAAGGCGGCCGATAATATCGCGGCAAAGCGTGTGCCTACGTGTGTCCGTCGCCGACGACGATGCGCTCAACGCGAACGGTATCCATCCGTGGCCAGCGTATACGAAAGCGTGCGCGTAAGCGTGAGATGTCCCAACCTGCGCGACTGGACAACCGCCGTCGCCAGGACACGCATCGCCGATCGCGATCGCGCGTGTAAGTATTCGCACGCCTGGCACACGCGCGCGGGTAAACCGACACCGGCCGCCAGCGAATCGTCATTTCCTGTCGAATCGGCGAATTAAAAAGAAAAAGATATTAAAGGACGAAATTTGAACCAATACCCCGGGTTAAATAACATTTTGTTACTTTCAGCTACCGTGTGTGTCGAAATTTATTATATATTTTTACGCAAAACAGTATTATTTTAACTCTATTCCAGTTAAATTAACGACATATCGAGTAGAAGCAGTGGCCACTATAGGAATGACTTAATATTTAATATATTAAGTATAATTTGACACTGCGAATTAACAATTCGATTATATGCGTCCAGCGAGATGTCGTCGTCGATGTAAACCACGGACGCATATATCTGCTTGACGATCTTCTTCATTTTCTTTTAACGCAAAAAGCTATTCCATGCTCGACCGCTCGCAATGCGCCGAGTCTCGTGTCGCGTCCGTAATCATTTATAGTTCTGCTCCGCGTTCGAAGAAATGAAACTCCGTACGATGAACGAGAAGCTCGCGGAGCCTCCGATCTCATTCCGGCAGTGAAATCATATCTATCTCGCGTTTCAGTGAGCGTCTCGAGCGCGTCGAAAGACCATGTCGGTCCTAATCGTCCGACCGGCGAACGAGAACTCCAAATCAATCTTATTGTCACGGTGAGAAAAATTGCATCGGCGAATTGTGTACACCCGACATGTCGAAATGGACGAGATCGCAGTAACACACCGATGATCGCGTTATTGCGAGCGAACGTGACGGACGTGACGGAACTTCGAAAGGCAGGATCCCACGCGCGCGCACGTTGTGTGCACGTGTGCGTGGAAAGATAAAAATTCTCCCCCCTCCCCGGCGCGTCTCTTTCCTTCTCGCAGCGGGGATTCCACGTTTTCCAGCCGAGTTGCCGAGTTTCCTCCTCCAAATGTTCGCGCGACGGTCCGTGGACCATAAGTGAGAAGAGGAGAGCGTGGTTATATGATCGCCACCTCTCGGAAGCGTTAATAGCAACCCACCGAGAGTGTATCTCGTATCTCTTGAGCACCCCTCTATATTTGAGAACTGATCCTCCAGGTTGGGGGTTAGGCGCTAGGCTAACAACCAGGCTAAAAAAGGTAGGCTAACAACCAGGCTAAAAAAGGTTATTGTTAAAAAAACCAGAAGGGAGGCCTCGGATTTTGATAAAGGCCGAACTTCAGGAATAGGTACAATATTGAGCTGTGGTGCCGCTGAAGAAGAAAAGAAATTCGATTAATTTCTCGAAAAATTTGCGTCTCCGGTAGAGACCTCACGCATATACGCGTTATCGCACGCACGACAACCGCCTACGCGCAGCCACTCGAACCCCTGCCGTCAGTCGTTGTTTGAACAATCTGCTAGATGCAAATAGAAGCTGCCTATGAGGTCCTGCCGAGCAACGGTCGCTCGCCAGGACCGTTAAAAAGAAGGCTGCTTAGGCGACCGAACGATTGCAGAAAATGTTTATTGTAATAAGCGATTATTTCTGACAGCGTGAGATTCGACTCTCTAAGCTCGTCTTTAGAGAAAAGAACGGAAGATTAATTGAACACGTACACACACATGCTGTCTTATAATAATTATGATTTTTAATTATTTTTTGTGAGAATGGATCAGGAGAATTAAATGTTTAAATGTACTTTTGTATGTTTATATGTTGTTTTTTAAATCAAAGTTCTCTTTATGGGTATATATATTTACAGCTTCGATATATTAAATTTGCGCGATCACGCAAAAATACGTATAAATCGAATTAAATTAACTTCTACTTTTAGATTACAATATTATTTTTTATATGAAAACAGAGTAAAGCATGTAGTATCAAACGTGTTTTTATCATTTTTATTATCAATGTTTGTTTGGTTTTGCAAATCAAAATTCTCTTTATATGTCGACATGTTAAAATCGTATGATCGTGCAAAAATGCATATATGTATATCGAGATCAAATTAACACACCTTTATAGATTACACCTTTATAGATTACAATACTGGAGTAAAAAGACGAACTATCTTATATTTGTATCCTGAAGTTATATGTATACGTGGAGCGTGGACCTAGTTTACGATAATAGAGATGAGCAGTTATTACCCCACATACCTATGAAGGGTTAAGATGTGCGGAGGACGACCGCCCTCGCCTTCCGCAATTACGTATTTACCATCTCGAGAAAAACGTGAAATTTTACCGATTATACAGAACATCCTATACTTAGCGTGCCGCGTTTCACCCACGGATCTTCTTCATTGCAATTTGCATCGATTTTTCGCAGCTAGACAATTACAAGTCTGTAGTATTACAAGTCTATCCAAATCCACTCGACATAGAATGCGATTTTACAATCTCTATCAAGATTTTACCGTATCCATATCTCTGAAACTTAGAGTCCCTTCACCTTCGATCGTTTAAAAGCTCAAGAAGCGTCGATGCCTTTCCGGTAAAATCGGACTCGAGATAAATCAAAGACGCCGTGAGATGAAAGGCGGCTTTGTACGTCCGGGTAACGCGTACCCCATGTTCCGAATGTCGACGGACGCGTTAAGCGCGTAGTAGTAGCCGCAAAAACGTCAAGCCGAGCAGCGTCCCCTGGTCGTAAACCATCAACGGATGTGTCGAATGAATCCGCCTGGTCAACAGTTTATGGTACACGCGCAGCAATTGACCTACATTGTGTTGTACGCCGCAGGAAGGGGGTACCCATAGACCATAGCCCGGGACTAAATTATCAGGACACCGAGCGACGCACGAGCGTGAGGGCGACTTAATTAGCCAATTACCGGCGCGCGTATAGAACTGCGCGCAGCCGGTGGTCTTAGATCCGGAGGGTGGACAGAAGGAAGGGGGGACTGCGAGGGCAGTAAAGGGTCCGAATGTCGGACGGATGGAGTTTCGCCACTCGGGGCGAGACTGTCGGGGGAGGTGCCCCATCCGAATCCAGGACAAGGCGATTGAAACGTCAGCTTTATCCTTGAACGGTGCAAAAGGATTCCCGGCTCTCTCCGGCGGAATCAATTCGCCACCACCCTCCCTCCGCGGTTGTTC